GGTAGCGTGTGGGATCTGCAAGGGGTTCACCCTCACCAGGACGAAGATGGAGACCAAACTCCATAGGAGTGTCAACCGTGCGCTGATCGGTGAGGCAGGCACGAGTGAGAAGATCTTGGATGTACTTCTCTTGAGAGAGATAAATACCCTCAGGGGAAGAAATGATCTCAAGTCCAAGCAGCGAAGAGAACCCAAATCAGTCATCAAGAATTGCTCATGTAGACGTTTCTTCACAAAATCAATGAATTGGTGGTCAGCCCCTGTGATAATCATGTCATCAACATAGAGTAGTAAAAGGGTGCGACCGCAAGGAGAAGTGTGAATAAACAGAGCAGGATCATGAACACTAGCAGAGAACCCGATCCTTGTGATGACGGCGGAGAAACGCTCAAACCAGGTACGAGGAGCTTGTTTCAGCCCGTAAAGAGCGCGCCGAAGGCGACAGACAGTGCCATCAGAGACAGTATAGCCAGGAGGCGGCTGCATATAGACCACTTCCCGCAGCTCACCATTCAAGAAGGCATTCTTGACATCTAATTCAGAGATGGACCACTGCCGAACAGCAGCAACAGCCAAAAGAGTGTGAACAGTGGTCATGTGAGCAACAGGAGCAAAAGTCTCATCATAGTCACGACCATACTCCTGCTGGAAGCCACGCGCAACAAGACGAGCTTTGTAGCGCACGAGAGAACCATCTGAATGTGTCTTAACCTTGTAGACCCATTTGCAAGTGATGGGTCTAACGCCTGTAGGCAGGGGTACAAGGTCCCAAGTGCCTGTGCGCTCAAGAGCATGAATTTCCTCTGCCATAGCATGCTGCCATTCAGAATGAGCAGCAGCCTCACGATACGTAGATGGCTCAACAAGAGTGGTAGCAGCAGCAACATAGTACGCAGGAGGCTGGAGAGTGTGGCGATCACGCAGATTATACCGAGGAGCAGGAGGGGTAGGTGGTTCTGAAGGAATGGGACCCAACAAGGAAGGAGTGGAAGTGGAAGTGGGCGCATCCGAGGGAGAAGGGTGCCGAGCACGACGGGAGTAGACAAAAGGAAGCGGAGAGAGAGGGGAAGTGGAAGGTGGCGCATCAGAGGGAGAAGGGTGTTGAGCACGACAGGAGTAGGTAAAAGGAAAAGGAGAGAGAGTGGATGGCTCAACCCAAGTAGGAGAGTCAGGAATAGAAACCTCATCCTGTGTAAGCTGAAGCTCATGAGCAGACACAGGTGAAAGGCTAGGAGTGGACCTACCAGGTGACGATAAAGGTGAAGAATCAGGTAGAGTCAAAAAAGAGAGAGGCTCGACTAACGACTCGGTTGTGGCAGTAGAAGAATGACGAGGGTAGAAGGAGCGAGACTCATCAAAAGTGACATCTTCGGAGATTCTCAGTCTTCGAGCAATAGGGTCCCAGCAACGGTAACCTTTGTGCTCCAAACTGTAGCCAAGGAAAACACATTCAACAGATTGAGCAGTCAATTTGGTGCGTTCATGAGGGTGGAGAAGAACAAAACAGGCACAACCAAACAGGCGTAGACCACTATAATCAGCTGGACCATCACCTAGATGATCAACTGGTATCCCTCCCTGAAGAGCAACAGAAGGCTGAATATTAATGAGATAAACAGCGGTAGAGACAGCCTCAGCCCAAAAGTGCGGGGGAACAGCAGAAGATAAAAGAAGAGCCCGAGCAGTCTCAAGGACGTGACGATGTTTGCGTTCAGCCACCCCATTTTGAGCATGTGCACCAGGACAGGAATACTGAGGAAGGGTGCCCTGTTCAGCAAGGAAACCACGAAGCGCACGAGATAGGTACTCGCCAGCCGAATCAGCACGAAAAACTCGAACAGAGGAATCATACTGAGTGCGAACCATGGTAGCAAACGACTTGTAAATTTGAAGCACTTGACTACGAGATGACATAAAGTAGATCCAAGTGTGGCGAGAAAAATCATCAATGAAAATTATATAATATTTGTGACCCCCTTTCGAAACAAAGGGGGCAGGACCCCATACATCAGAGTGAACAAGTTCAAAAGGTCGTTGAGAAACAGAATTACTAGAGGGATATGGAAGTTGTATCTGCTTGCCAAGCTTACAACCCATACAAGTTAGTGAACTATCACCAGATACAGATCCTAGAACACCACTCCTAACCAAAGAAGACAAGCGGGAGCCACAAATGTGACCCAATCGATGATGCCACTGAGCGAAGGATGTGGTGGAGGTGGCAGCTGAAGCAAAAGGGGTGGTGATGTCCGACTGGCTAGAGGACGCAGCGGAAGGAAGGCGCAGCCAATCGAGCTCCCAAAGGCGCTGAGAGTCATGGCGCCGAGGACCGATCCCAACCAGAGTCCCCGTACGACGATCCTGAACACAACAAGAGTCAGAATCCAGAATAACACGACAACCCAAGTCAGTAAGTTGACCAGCAGATAGAAGTTGCATAGTCAGTTTAGGAACATGAGAAACGGCAGGGACATGAAAAGAAGACGTGGAAAGAGTCCCTCTTGCGGCAACAGAAAGAGAAGTGTCATCTGCAGTCTGAACTGTAAGAGGAGAAGGCACGGAATTGACAGCACAAAGATGATCTCTGTGTGGTGTCATGTGGAAGGAGGCCCCAGAATCAAGAATCCAGGGCAAAGATGTACCTGACGAAGAGTGCGGTGGTGGACCAGACGTCTGACCAGCAGAACCAGCAGAACCTGAGGATGGTGCAGAAGCAGTAAGGCGGCGCAGCAAGGTGAGCATCTCCTGGTGAACCTTCTCAAGGGAGCCCTCACGAGAACTAGAGGAGCCTCCCGAGTCCTTTTGAGGACGGCCACCACGGCGACCCTGTTTCCTCCTCTTGTGCACTCCGTGATCATGTGACCATCCTGCTTGCAGTAGTTGCAGAAAGCACTAGTGAAGGTTGCTGCCACCTGTGTAGAAGAGGGCACACCAGGCAGCGGTGGTGGAACGCGGGCAGCCAGGACTGCTGAAGAGGATGGCAATAAGCCCGTGCTCCGTAGGCGCACCTCCTCAGATCGCACCTCAGCAAGGGCCTCCAGAGTAGAGAGCCGAGGATGGCGTGCCAATAGCTGAGCACAACTCTGCTCGAACTCCGGCCGGAGGCGAGTGAGGAAGTCGTAGAGGCGACGAACCTCCAGCTTAGCTTGTTGCCGCACACAACACTGACATCTGCGACAAACATCAGCCCCCAGAGAGTCCAATTGGCGCTACACCGCCGACATCTCCTTGTAGAAATCATCCACAGTAGCATCTCCCTGTTGTAGTTGTTGCTCTTGACGAACAACAGAGAGATACATGGCATCCCCTGTAGACTCATAGCGATGGCGAAGGTGCTCCCACATCTGATATGCAGTGGTAAGGGCCACCACATCCATGGTGAGATCAACATCCATGCTGTTCACCAAGATAGAAGAGGCTCGAGCATCATCATTTGTCCATTGCTTGTATAAGTGGAGTTGATTCTGATACTCTTCAGTGGCCTCTTCAAAAGCATCTAGCATCTCACGTTGCTTGGTTTCATCGGCATCAACAGGGAAGGCCAACTCAGCTGGAGGAGTGGGCAGCAGGGGACAAGGCAGAGCACCAGAGAGGTGCTCCCAGACCAGCTGGCCCCTCATGTGCAGCTTCATGTGCTGCACCCAGTCCCTGTAGTTCTGTCCGTTGAAGATAACAGGACATCGTGGGACTGGGACAGCACCGGTGGTGGTGGAGGGCGCCATTGCAGCAGAGCAGCAGCAGCAGCTCGTTGAAGACCAGCAGCAGCAGGAGGCACAGCTTGATGGCAGCAGCAGACCAGGAGGAGAAGAGCAGCAGCAGCCGCACTTTGAAGAGCAGCAGCAGCAGCAGCTCGTTGAAGAGCAGCAGCAGCACGTTGAGGCGGCGGCGCCGGCCGGGAAGGACGGCAGCGGCCTGGACCAGCAGGCGGCAGCAGCTACCAGGAAGAAGAGGGGAGAGGCTCGATGAAGAGAGGAGCGGCGGCCGGCGGCGGCCGCGGCAGCGGCGGCGGCGGCTGGGGAACCTAACCCTAGCTCTTATACCATGTTATGAAGTGAGCCTATATTCCATCGGGCCAACAGGCCAGCACATATACATGAAGGGAAATAAGCAAAGAAGCCCCTATACAATATGATAACTACACACACAGCACAACCCTGTTCTAACATTAAATACTCCCTCTGTCCCAAAATAAGTGTCTCAAGCTTAGTACAACTTTGTACTAGCTCTAGTACAAAGTTGAGACACTTATTTTGGGATTGAGGGAGTACTTCATCAATTTGGCAAATGTCAGAGATTATATACTCCCTCTGTTATGTAATATAAGAGCATTTAGATCACATGAATGGTTATTTAATAGCAGGTGATACCTAATACCGCATGCCTATACCTAATCCTGATATTGACAAACTCATCATATGAAACCACAAAAGAAAACTCATTCAATCAATTACAGAGGGAGTACTACAAAAGAGCAAAGATGACACATGTCATGTGAATGACCAGAGTGGGGAACCATGCATGGCACATTTTGTGAAAAGAAGATTGAACAAACATGGCACATGTTGTTAAGAAAATTGTATAGATGGACAGGACATTTTTTCACGGATTTTTTTCTTGGATCACAAAATGGAAGAAAATAATCGTGGAGATACATGGGGTGGAGAACGACATGAGTAAATTATTAGAGATGTGTTCTCCAAAGGACAAAGGGCATTTTGATGCAAGATGAGAGGCTTAGAATTATTTCTAAGATTAGTTTCATAAACACAAGAAATTCATGGGTAGTATTTAAGTTACCATTTCATCATCAAACCTGCCAATCATTTGAGGGGTATAATTTAGCCGGTATTGAAAGTTTGAGGTTGTCTCCTAACCAGTTTCGGGGTTCGGGGTTGTAAATAAACTACCCCTAGACTTCAAGGTTGAAATATGCACTTCTCTCTAGACATTAGAGTTTCGAATAATTTCAATAAAGCTAGCTGGCTGGTCAAAGGATCTGGTTATAATTTCCTTAACTGTTGTTGTGCTTTGTACTGCAGGTGAAACTTCAATATAATCCAGGGACTTTTTCGGGAAGAAAAAAAAGCTAGCAAGTAGCCGAGCACTGTATCATGTGAAAATCTTTCTAGGAAATCTTTGAAATAGTAAATACAAACCTTCGAAATAAGGGAAAAGCCAAGCTGGCTGATGGCTTCAGAGAACTTATCAGGATCAGCACCTCCGGTGTCCGGGTCTAGCCTACTCCTCACTTCCGCAATAAGAAGCCAACCACTGCTTAAACAAATGTGTAAAAGGACAGACCCAGTGCTTAAACAAATGTGTAAACACTAAAAAGTGAGCCAAAGACCATTCATTGTAAAAGTGTAGCAGCTAATCATTGAGCAAACCTTGGCTTGAGAACTCTGTTAGCTTCCTGTAGATAACTCGGAAAGTTGGTTCCCATCAAAGAAAGACAAAATATCGCCACATCTACAGAGGATGGCTCCAATGGGGTCTGTGCATAAATGACTACACATTTAGTTGAAGTAACAACTCGGGTACCAAAAGAGACATTTCCATGTTTATATTAAATGCTTGGTTGTAAACACACTGAGGACTAGTACTTCTTTTTATGTTCAAAGGGAGGACTGCATAAGAAATCCAAAAGGAAAAAAAAATGTCACAGGAATATACGTGATAAAGTCTAATCAGGAGAACAGCAACAAACCATCATAGTGAACGGTATTGCTGATGATTTAGTTTACCAACATCTCAATTTAAGTGAGTAAATGATTCCTAAAGGATGATGCCGTGAAATACTAAGGAGATGAACCTATTGTTGTCAACTAAGACACCTCCAGTATAAACTACATTGGTTCCACTTTAAATTTAAACAATGGACCAATGTATTGAATATTGGTGATAGCAGCTTCTGTTTCGAAAACAAGAATACCATACTAATATCAGGAACTCTTAGTGTTGAAAGATCCATCATGGAAAAAAACTTTTACAAAACCCCATTCCACTAACGGGAAACTGCATTCGATTGTGAGTCGCACATGCTGGTTACTACTTGTGGAGTACAAAGATTGAAATGAAGGAGAACCATTCCACATATGTAGCATGATCTAACATTACAATTAGCAGCTTGCAAGTGAGAGACAGACCACAGATTGCATCACCAAGAACTGCAAAGAGTGATGCACAGAAATAATTCACAAAAATTGAGCATTCCAGTTCACGAAGCACCAATACTATCTCATCAGCTTTACTTAGGTACAACTCCTCTCCAAATGTACAGTCTCAGCCACGGCACACCTCATTTCAAAGAAACAACTGAAGCGCACCCAGAACAAAAAAAAAAGGAGAAGGATACAACTACAATAACCACCATGTTACTGAAGAGAAGTGAGGGGGCAAGCTAAAAGAGAAAGCCCCCCTTCTGTGGCCAATGGCTACCAAGGTCGTCGGATGGAGGGTGGGGGTATTAGCAGGGTCAGGGAAAGACGGCTTGAGAGGCCGGGAGATTGCGGCACGAGGATTCCACCATGTAAAACATGAAATGATACCAAATAAAATGTGCAACTGCAAGTGGCTATGAAACTAATCTAGCCAAAAATGCTAAGCTCTTGCACAGGAATATTGTCAGTGTTCATTATATTGTACTAAAGTCATTCTGCCATATTCCGCAGTGTTTTCTCATGCTTATCATTAGTCATGAAGATCACGATTTGGAATCCAAGGAGCTAATTGGGAATAACTGCTAACGTGTTTCTGCAGCTAAAATGGAAGTTAACAAAAAAGAGCAGATCCTAAACCACCAAAACATAAAGCTAACAAGGTAAAACACCACAAAAATAAATGCGGCTAGTGCTTACATGAGCCATATCACAAGCAATCACTGAAGGGTCATCTGAAACAAGATCGATGGAGAAGACCTTGTTCTTCACGTTTTTAGCAACTGCTGCATTCCCTGTGCAATGTGAATGGTAATCTCATGCTTGTGCAGGGAAATAACGAGAGGTAAATTGCAAGAGAGTGCAAAATTCAAGAAAGTAACTTCTTAGCATTCTTACCACATCCAAAATCAGCAACGGTCCATGATTTGTTATGACTCTTCAACCACTTGATTATCACATTAACTGGCTGCTCTGGCCAATGTGACATCTGCTCTTGATATCCTGCATGATACTAAAAGAGAACAGAGTGAAATTTCAACCACGTATCAGGTGAATATGGAGTTGCTTTCTCAGGATCAATTATCCTGACTTCACTTATGCAAGAAGCTTTCTGCATATCAATCACTAAAAGACATTTTCAGATAGAATGTGCAAACAAGAAACTATATATTCAAAAGAAAGAAATAGCAAACCATGTAGAAGCTCATACATGGTTTCAGATAGAATGTGCAAACAAGATGGAAGCACAAGACCCGTCAAAAAGAAAAGATTGAATCACAGAGAAATCAAACAATGAGCACTAAATTTATGGTTTCAGGATGTCACATATGCGAAAACTCACCCTGCCCAGATACTCCAATGCTTTACCACTAGAGCAGACATACTTATATTGATTAGAGCTGACATACTTATCTTGATACTGACTCCATGTCAATGCTATAAACTAATGTGCTAGAAAGAAGAATAGTATATGCTAGCAGATAAAAATATTAATATGGTAGAAGAACTAAATACATAACATACCACGTCAAAAAGCTCAGGCTCGTTTTTAAAGTAGTCAAATGCATCCTGGCCACTGGAAAATATAAGAACAAATGAGAAGAAGTCTATCATGCAAAAGTTGATGCTCTGGTTTCTATGGAGGATCCAGTATTTCCAACTCCAAGGTTAAAGGCATACACACCCCTAGGTTAATGAGATGACAATCATTCAGGCTACCAGTTGATATGAGGGATAATTGGCAGTGCCAGATCAGGCAAGGCATGAAGAATATTCTCGGGTGTTTAGGTTAACAACTGTTGTATACATTTTTATCACCTTTCATGATCAGTATTTAGCAAATGTCTGTACCATATCCGATCTAGTTAATCATAACTCACAATGCCATATGTTTCACAATATGAAACTGAAGCATTATCATGTTCTTATGATTAATTATTGGCCAAAACTATACTGTGCAGTAAGTGAATGTTAAGAGTCCTGATCTACCAAGTACCAACACATCAACTTATACAAAAAGAAGTGTTCTGTGGAATGAATGTGAACCTGCAAGTGTACAGTTTCTCGTTTAACATTCTGAAATGACCTCCAGATAACCTTGCACGCATCTACAAATAGACGTCACCAGACAAAAAAACATCAAATTAACTCATGAGAAAAGGTCAGAGAAATAAAAAGAAGGTATGACTAACACAATCATATACAGATACCAATTTCTTTTCTTTTCTTTTTTCCCTTGAGAAAAAGAGCTGTCATCAATTTATATCATTAATAGATATCATAGATGTTGGATACAGCAAAACCAAACCAGCGCTCACGATTACCGGAGCTTAATCCAGTTCATTACGGGTTTAGGAAGCTGAAGAAGCACTTACAGAATGACCAAATGACTAAGAAAGGAAACAAAGATCTACCAACAGTCCAATACACAGTTAACGTTTGGGCTAAACACCCGCACCCAAGTGACACTGTCGTGCACTCTAGGCCCTTGGCAGATCAGTGAAATCTCCTTAAGACCTTCACAATTTCTTCACCAGCTTCGTTATCCTTGGCGTTGTTGCAGCAACAGCCTCCCATCCTCACGTCACCTGGTACACCTCACTTGCTACTGCCAATCATGTTTAACAACTCCAGCTATCCAAACCGCACATAAATTGTGGGATTTGTTAGAAAAAAGACCTAAGAGCAAATGTGCATTTTGTGTGATGGAGACGTGTATTAAATTCAGCCAAGCATTAAAGCATGTGAGTATCTCTAGCTTAAGTGTTGACATTATCAACATTAGGACACACCCCTGCTGGTCCTTTTGGAAATCCAGAACAATGATCACATCATCAAATATGACCTCCCGTTGCTGGGTTTAAGTACATGTGCATACACGAAAGTTCCTGACTGTTTCGTACTAGAGATAGAGAACATGCTAAAATATGTGTAATACACCATTTGTGCACGGGCGAAAGAAAGACTGCACTCAGTTCGTAATACAAGTATACTTCTTATACTAGTGAGTGGTACATGCTACGCATGTGACGGTATTAGTTAGTACTAAAGTGTGTTCCTAGAGTAGTTATTATACTGCAATATTTTTCTGCTCATCATATATATAAAAAATTATCCATCCCCATATAAATTAATCTTACACTTCATCTGAAATTTACACACTTGTTTCTTTGTCATACACTGCATGTACATGTCAGCTTTAAATTGGTTACACATGCACACATATTTAGTTGGATAGTACTCCCTCCGTCCCAAAATAAGTGTCGCTGATTACTTTGTACTAAATCAGCAACACTTATTTTGGGACGGAGGGAGTACATAACTACTAGTACATGGGTACATGCACAGCACGTTCAAAGTTTCCATTCTGATAATTACTACTTGCGCTACAGCCAGCTTAAACAAACTCGACCGGAACTTCAACTCAATTTAAAAAATTAAATAAATCTCAAAGGTGCAAGCATTATTAGTTTAACTTCTTGTGTAGCCCTATCTTTAAATACATGCAGTTCTAAGCAACTCTCTCGAAACTTCACCTCCTAGTTATCTCAATGGCGCTTGATTGGCGCACATGTTGCACGCAGAGCACACACTGCCACGCTCACGGCTCAGCTGCCAGCACTTGTGCCATGGACGGAGCGGCTGCCCAGGCACACGTATGCACACAGATATGACAGCCACAAGCAGCTCAACTTTACACTATGTAGCAGGTACTGTAGCTGTGAATCCCAGCATTTCCAACCATCCGATGGACTTAATCAACGGTTAACATTGCTTCTTGGTCTTGTGATTCAAAAGTTCAAAACTGATACACTATATAGTAGTATAGATATAGTTTTTGCATACAATTAATTTTATGTAGACTTCTATTCTACTTCTCTACAAAGCGCACTAGATAGACAATGCCTTTAGTTGTCTACGTCTTTCGACAGTGACCAAGCATGGCAATGGGCAGGCGGGAAGTCGCACAAAGAGCGGGCAAACATGTTGGTCTCCTCATGCTGGTTTTTAAAAGATTCTAGAGATGCAACATGGCATGATCCAACCGAACTGAGAAATAGATCCAACGGCCATGGATGATGGGATTCACCACTTCTCCATCATTGGATGTGAGTAAATCAACGTCCGATATTTGAAGTTATTAGTACACTATATTAAGGATTTGTAGGAGATTCTAGAGATGCAACGCACAATCCAACCAAACTGAGAAATAAATCCAGCGGCCAAGGACGATGGGATTTGCCACTTCTCCATTGGATAAAAATAAATCAACAGATAATACTTTGAAGTTATTGGTACACTAGATATACTTTTTTTGCAAAGTGGCACATATGATCATAATTCCCGCAATTTTTTTATCATAATTGTGTACAGTTGTTTTAATGAAATGAAATGAATTATCATGCATTCTAGCAGTATGCTCTAGTATTTTCATCTTCAGGGATTTTAATCATACGAGTAAGTATTCAAAAGTAAAAATCCCAAGAGGTGCGTACATACAGATGTAGCAAATCATCTCATCGAACACACCAGTTTGCAAAAGGAAACGAATACCAAGCTACCAACACTCCTCATTATAGTATTCTAACCATGCAGCTCTAGGAGTCTCTACCCCTATAAAGGAATTACCTTTTCGAGTAGGCTCGTAGGCTTGCGCCCCTTGGGTATTGCGGCGGCCTCGCCGGCCTTGCGACGCCGCTTCTCCAGGGGGGAGGCCGCATCCGCTGGAGGGGCAGGCCGAGTGCCTGTTGTGAGGAAGAAGAATCCTTCTGGCGTTTCCCGACTCCTCCTCTACGCCGCCTCTTGCGGTCGTCGACGGTCGACTCTTGCTGAGGTTCCATCTAGGAGGGGAGGCCGGCGGCCGGAGTCGCAGCGGCGGCGTGACCTTTTCAGGGTTTGGGGGGAATTCGTGCGGCTCTTCTGTTGCAAACTTGCAACCCAGTTACACGGAAGCGGGCCAGCGATACATGCGCCTGTCGTCGCCCTGGTGAGGCTAAGATAGCACGGCCCAAAGTGCATGATATTAGCCCATGCCCTTGTACCGAGGCATTAAAAAAAGTTATACTTTTTAACCTTTTTGTAATGCCTCGGTAAAAGTTATACTTGACCCCTCAAAAAAATGCAAAAAAGTTATACTTTAAGCTCTTCACAAAAAACTTATACTTGATCCTAAAAAAAAGCCCCTCCAAAAAATTATACTCTCTATGAAAGAATTTTGTAATTTTCTTTACACATTTATACATTATTAAGAGAAATTTATAAATATTTTTAGCCTTTTAGATATATTTTTGACATACTAATAGCCGTACAAAGCATTACACGGACGTTCAAAATTGTATATACAATCATGCGCATTTTTATGTTCTAAAAATGTTTAATATTTTAATAAACATCAAGTATCCCATATTATTCTATACTTAAGAGAGTGATTTTCGCTAACTTATTTATCTCAACATGCAAGTATCCTATATCATCAACAGATTGTCCCGACCAGGAAGCAGCTAGATCAAAGACAGTTCAAGGGCTATTGATGGTCAGTGGCGGAGCCAGGAAAAAAGAATGAGGAGGGCCGAGTGCTGCCGAGCCTTGTCAGGGAGGGCCAATCCACCATAATACACCATTTTCTTAGCAAATAATCATTTGTTCAGATGTATATTAAGCTTAAATCAGTTGTATTAGGGGGGGGGGCAGGGCCCCTACTGGTCGCCCCTGCCTCCGCCACTATTGATGGTGTTACGACCCGGTGGTGCCTCACCTTAACGCAAACCGACCTGACTATGCTTCTCAGTCGGCGTGTCCCTATTGAAGCGACGGTGGTCAATCCGATCTCGTGGGGCTGACCACATGTATTATACACCTAAGTGTTTTGGGATTATTTGGTTTTCATAAAGTGACTTATACACCTAGGCGGTGGGAGTAGTAACACATGTATAGTGTCATGCAAAGCTTCATTTATTAGGTTAATTATAAACTCATTTTGTGTTGGTATGTGTGATGTTATTCATAGAATAAGTAACTAGCCAAGTTACTCAATTTACATTTCTCCTCATTAACTCATTGGCACATAGGCAAATTTGCTGAGTTGGACCCGGTGTTACTCTCGAAGTTACTCCCATTGTGGCCGGTCTAAGTGTAGTGTTGCATGACACCATACATACATTACTCCTCACTATAGAATACTACCTCCATCCTGATTTATTAGTTCCTCTTGATGTTTGGGTTAAAGTTTGACTACATACTTGACTAGCAAAATGTAAATGCATGTCATCAAATATTATTTTAATGAATTCATATTTGAATGTAGTTTCCAACTATATTACTTTTGTTATATATAACTTATAATTTATTAGTTAAAATCATGATAAAAAAAGATCACAGATTGGAGTAACTTCAAAAAAAAACTAGCCACAGTGGGAGTAACTACAGTATTAACATCGAGTCCAACTGAGCAAATTTACTTATGTGGCAACGAGTTAATGAGAAAAGAGATAGTGTTAACGACACAGCTATCATCTTGATCCCTAAAGTTCAATTCCCAAAAGAACTAAAGGATTTTAGACCGATTAGTCTGTGTAATGTGATTTATAAGATTATGTCAAAATGTTTGGTTAACCGACTACGCCATATTATGTCTGAACTTATTTCGGAAAATCAGAGTGCATTTATTCCAGGGAGGCTCACTACAGATAATTCTATCATAGCATTTGAATGCTTGGAATTCATCCAGTCGGTTGGAGCCAGTTCACCGGCTTGTTGTGCTTACAAACTTGACCTATCAAAAGCGTACGACCGAGTGGACTGGTTTTTTTCCTTGAGAAGGCTCTACGTAAATGGGGTTTCTCACAGCAGTGGATTTTTTGGATTATGGTATGTGTGACGTCGGTAAAATATTCAGTGAAGCTGAATGGAAAATTATTGGAGTCCTTCATCCCCTCACGCGGCCTCCGACAAGGTGATCCCTTGTCTCCGTTTCTTTTCCTCTTTGTTGCTGATGCATTGTCTTTGTTGGTCAACAAGGCTATTTCGGAGGAGGGGTTGGAAGGAGTGAAAGTTTGTCGGCGGGCACCTATGATATCTCACTTGTTATTCGCAGATGATTCATTGTTGT